AACAGGGAAGTGGGAAGAGGAGAACGAGGGAGAAGGTACAGATAATAAGTAGCATAGATGGTAGGTAGAAAATAGACAGGGGGAGGGTAATAATAGTATGGGAAATGTAGAAGCTAAAGAACTTGTGACACATAGACATGAACTAATGGGGGGGAATGAGGGGAGGAGGTGTGCAGGGTGGAGGGGAATGAAGGGGGAAAATGGGACAACTGTAATGGCATAATCAATAAAATATATTTAAAAAATAATTAGCTACATCTGTACATAATTATATGGAATCAAATTATTCATATGAATAAGAAAATAAAAACACAATGCATATGAAAAAAACCCCTAATACTAGTAGTTGCAAGAGACCAAGAGAGCTATAGCGTCAAACGCCAGATAATTCACAACTGTCCACTCTTGGAAAATCACATTCCTCTTTCTCTGAAATCTCTGGGCTATTTTATAAAGATGAAGCCTGGAGGAAGATTTAAATAATATGAGCAAGAATATTAATCTAATGGTGTCTACATATGCAAAAATCTTAAATGAGAAAGCAGTAGTTGCATCTGATATTGACAAAATAGTTGGACTCTTTAAAGAAGTCAATACTCTTGAAAACTTTCTTTTAAAAAATATATAGATTTGATATGCTTTTTTGTTTTATTTTTGTTTAGGTTCAGTTGTTAATAGCTGTGAGTTTGTTGTCATTTTACTGTTCATATTTTTTATCTCCTTTTTCTTAGATAAGTCCCTTTAACATTTCATATAATAAGGGCTTGGTGATGAGGAACTCCTTGAACTTGACCTTATCTGAGAAGCACTTTATCTGCCCTTCCATTCTAAATGAAAGCTTTTCTAGATAGATCAATCTTGGATGTAGGTTCTTGCCTTTCATGGCTTGGAATACTTCTTTCCAGCCCCTTCTTGCCTGCAAGGTCTCTTTTGAGAAATCAGCTGACAGTCTGATGGGAACTCCTTTGTAGGTAACTGTCTCCTTTTCTCTTGCTGCTTCTAGGATTCTCTCCTTTATTTTAATCTTGGCTAATATAATTATGATGTGCCTTGGTGTGTTCTTCCTTGGGTCCAACTACTTTGGGACTCTCTGAGCTTCCTGGAAGTCTGTTTCCTTCATCAGATTGGGGAAGTTCTCATTCATTATTTTTTCAAATAAGTTTTCAATGTCTTGCTCTTCCTCTTCTCTTTCTGGCATTCCTATAATTCAAATGTTGGAATGTTTGAACTTGTCCCAGAGATTCCTGAGCCTCTCCTCATTTTTTTTTTTTTTTGCATCTTTGTTTCTTCATTCTGTTCTGGTTGAATGTTTCTTTCTTCTTTCTGGTACAAACCATTGATTTGAGTTCCAGTTTCCTTCCCATCACTGTTGGTTCCTTGTTCATTTTCCTTTATCTTGCTTTTTATAGCCTTCATTTTTTCCTCTAATTTGTGACCATATTCAACTAATGTGAGCATCCTGATTGCCAGTGTCTTGAACTATGTATCTGATAGGTTGGCTATCTCTTCATCACTTAGTTGTATTTTTTTTCTGGAGCTTTGACCTGTTCTTTCATTTGGGCCTTTTTTTTTTTCTTTTTCATTTTTTTTCCCCTTGGTGCCCACTTTTTTTTTTAATATAAGATTTAGTCATCCATTTTTAGAGAGAGGGGAAAAGAGAGAGACAGAGAAAGAGAGAAACAGCAATATGTAGTTGTCTTTCATGTGTCCCCTACTAGGGAGTTGGCCCACAACCCAGGCATGTGCCCTGACTGGAAATCCAACCTGTGCTCCTTTGGTTCACAGGCCCGCACTCAATCCCCTGAGCCACACCAGCCAGGGCTATTGAAAACTTTCTAACACAAGAAGGAGAGCTCCTGAGACATAAGTTTACAATGATTTCAAACATGCTGCACAGGTAAAATCGTGCACTTACAATAAGCTGAGAATACAAACCCATTATTGTTGTGATGAAAGAATGACATGCACGCTCTGAAAGCTCTCTAGTTGTTAAAGAAAATGTATACCTTAAACACAGAAGAGGAAACTCCTTAATTGTTCTCTTGATTTAAAGGTTGCTTTAAACTGTACATTAATATGGAGTATGTAGCTCTTTTTTTAAGGGTCAAATATTTGGTATATTTTATAAAAGTGTAAATTATTTAAATTATATACACATTCTTTATTTTTTTTCTTAAACCACCTAGCCTTCAACTTCTGAAAGAGGACTCAGTGAGATAATATGATAATGTTTAACAATATTATACTTCAAAAAAAATTTTGTGTAAATAGCAGATAGCTTTGGAGATAGTTTTAAAATGTTTTCTATGGTCAGTATTATAAAAAGTTAAAACCTAAAGGTGATTTATCCAGTTTATCAATATGTAATAGTTACGCTGCTACAACACCCTCCTTACTGGTCGGACCTCCTCCAATCCTCCTTCTGTAGCCAGAGCAAACATTCTGAAATGCAAATCTGACTACATCATTCCCTTGCTTAAAGCAGTCCAGTGGCCGACCCCTTCCTTTCTCCCAGGATAAAGTGCACACTCCTTAGCAGGATGCACAAGGCCCCACCCACTCCAATCTGGCTCCTGCCTACTTCTAGATTTATGCCGCTCACCCACCACCACCACACCCACACAATTTAATCCACAGCAACACCACAACTAACTACTAAACTACTAACAGGCCCCCTGCCTGGAATTCTTTATCACCCCTCCAGGAAGCCTTCCTGGACCACACCTGGCTGCATTAGGTGCCCTTTCTTTCAGTGCCCAGAGCCCTTCGTGCTTATCTCTAGCACTGGACTAACCACAGCCGATTTTTTACAAAGGCAATTCAAAGTGGAAAAGATAGTCTTTTCAACAGATTGTGTCAGAAGACTGAATATCTATGTGGGGGGAAATGATCCTTACCTCACACCATACATAAAAATTAATTTGAATGTCTCAGACAAAAAAGCCAACTAACCAGCCAGGGTTCAGAGAGCTTCTGTGTTAGTAAACATACCCTCTTACAAGGAGGGTGGTGCACCCCAACCCCTTGGAAACTGCAGCTCCTGAGATCTCAACACTTCCAGACCCTGCCTTATGTACCTCTTCATGTGGCTGTTACTCTATACCCTTTATAATATTCCTTATAATAAACTGGTAAACATTTAGAAAAATGTATCATACACCTAGACAAAAAGCTAAAAATAGCTATTTTAGAAGAAAATCTTGTGACCTCACCTTAAGTTAGGCAAAGATTTCTTAGAACAAAAAGCATGAACCATCAAAAAAATTGGTAAATTGGACACTCACAATTAGAAACTTTGGTTTTTCACCACTAAGAAAATAAAAAGACAAACCACAGACTGCAATGGACTTCCATTCATTGCTGTTGATAATGTAAAATAGTATAACAGCTTTAAAACCCACCTGAGAGCTTCTTATAAAGTTGAAACATCATACAACCAAGCCATCCTGTTCACTTGTAGATATTTTACCCTACAGGTGAAATGGAAACATGTCCACCCAAAGACTTTATAGGGATGGTCAAGGCAGTTTTATTCACCATCTCAAAACCAGAAACAACCAAAATGTTTTCCTTTGAGGTCCTGAGAAGACACCTCCCCAAGAGTATAACTGGGGCCTCCCCCCAATCCCTGCTAACATCCAGATGGAGAAACAGCTTGTGGTATGTGCACACTACTCACTAATGTTAATGATGCACGCGACTAGGTGGACTCTCAAAAGCATTGTGCAAAGTGAAAGAAGCCAGGCACAAAAGACCACACCCTGGATGGTTCTATGCACATGAAATTCTGGGAAAGACAAAGTATCGTGATAAAAATCAGATGAGTGGTTGTCTGAGGCCAGGGAAGAAGGAGGATGAAGGACTGAGAAGGGGTGGAAGTGAATTTTGGGGAGTAATGAAAACACTGTACATATTGAATTGGACTGTGGTTAGCCTGATGCTTTCATTTGTCAAGTCAGAAAACTACACAGTACTTAAAATGTATGCTATTTATTCTATGTGAGTAATACCGTGGTGAAATAGTATTTTTTTGATGTGAGGGCTGCTGTGAAGCATAAAGGAGAATATAGGTGAAGGGATTCTGCTCAAGACCTTCTAAAAAGCCAAAGACCAAAAACCTCTGATTTATCCGGGAGAGGAGGGGGTGGGAGGGCTCGGCCCCCTGTGCGCTTCAGCCCCACGCAGAGGATCAGGGAAATAGTCCCCCGCCAGGCAGCAGCGTCATTTGGCGCCCACCACGGTCCGCCCGGCAGCACCCAGGCGACCGCACGGACCCTCTGTGACCCGGGAGGCTGCGAACTCTGCAGAGCGCGGGGCAGGGGCGCGGGGGGCGGGGCGTTCCCGCAGCCGAGGGTCCCGCGCCAGAAGGGTGGGTTGCAGCGGTGCGTCCCGCGCTCGTCGCCCGTCCCTCCGGGCGCCGTCCCGCCGCCTCCCTGGGCCCGCATCGAAGGTCGGAGCCCGGCTGTAGGGCGCTCAGCCCCGCCGGTCAGGCGACCTTGGGCCGGTCCCCTGCCCCCACTGGTACCGCCGCGGGGAAGCGCTTTCCCGCACGACAGGTGCGGCGGCCGCTCGGCTGGAACGGAACCTGCCCGGCGGCTCCGGCCCCCGACTTTCTTCCACCCATGAACCAGGTCTTCTGAGCTCGGCCCAATCCCCACCCACAAAGAACCGAACATTTTTGTTCTGAATGACAGAAGAAGTGTGGCCTAGATTGTTGAGTTATCCGTGGTGCTAAAAAGGCAGCTCACCAGCCACGGGTCGCCAAGGAGGGGGCGGCCCACCGAGTGCGCTGGGGCGCAGGGAGGGAAGGGCGCAGCCACCGCCCGGCGGGACCGGAGACCCTCCCCGCCCTGCCCCACGCGGGCCGCTGCGGGGACGCCGCGGGCAGCCTCGCCCACCGCCCACCCGCGGACTCACGGGCCCGCAGCCGCCGCCTCGCCCCTCCGAGCGCACTGCGCAGGGTTCCCAACTCCCCGGACCCCGCGGAAAGGCGACCGCGCGGGGCCCTGTGGTCCCCGCGGCTCCGGCCCGGCGCCGCCGGCCTCGCAGGTGCAGCCCAGAGCAGCGCGCGGGTGAGTGGCCGCAGCGGCTCCCGAGGAGTTGATGGGGCCCCAGGTGGGTGGGAGGGGCGGGCGGGCAGCAGGGGCGTCGGCAGTCGTTTCCATTCCCACCTTCGTTAGCTGCCCAGAGACCAGCAGATGCCAGGGACTGCGGAGGCAGGCAGGGCAGCTGTGGACCCCCGCGTTCTCGCAGGCGACTCTCCCCACCCCCGCCCCGCGGCTCCCAGCACCGACCTGGCCCAGGCTCGGGGAGACGGGGGACCCCACTGGTGTTTGCTGGGGGAGGGAGGCTGTGGGAATATTCCACTTCAGAACGCTAGACCGCGACCCGGGCGGAGGCCTAGACTGGAATCCTTTGCTGCTGCGGGCTGGCGTTCTTGGCTGGTTCAGAACTTTGCTTTCCCCATCTAGAAAGTGGGGTTATCATGCCACTTTCCAGGGTCCCTGTGCGGACGAAACCGAACGCAGCGCAGTGCTGAGCAGGGAGGCTGTGAGCAGACAGCTTCACCTTCCCAACAGAAGACGCCCGCGCCTTTGGACCTCGGTTCAGCAACCTCAGTACTTGACTTCTGGCTAGGAAAGAATTCAGACCCAAATTCAAACTATGAGAGAAAGTTTGTTTATAAAGTCACAGAGGTAGAAGAAGTGAGTGGTTGAAGAAATGGGCTCATGAAAACTTAGAGGCAGGGGAAGGGCAGTTGGAGCTTAGGAGAAAGAGAGATAAGGAAGGTGTCTGGGGAAGGGAGTGGGGAAATGCGAGGGCACGCTCTAAGGAGACACCTTCTGGGTCCTCCTCTTGAGGATGTTTGTCTGGCAGTGGGGTGGGGGGGAGGGCGTCCCAATAGAATATTCATCAGATTTCCAATTGTGTCCTTTCAGAGCCCTGGTTTCTACTGATTGTTCTGTGCCAGGGCAGGGGTCGTTAGTCAGTGTAGCTGGCCCTGATGACAGCCAAGGCATTGCCTGTCTGGTTTTGCTACATTTCTGGGCCTGGAGCTGAACCACAGCGGAGGCCTAGATTTTCATCCTAGGAGCTAATGCTTAAGGGAGTGGTGTGCAAGGACCCTCGTGGGAGGCCACCCATGGGCCCCTTATTGCTCCTTCAGGGGGGTGTATCACAGGACTAGCAACAGGCCTCGGAGGAAAGGTCAGGGGAGGGTCCAAACCTCATGACCAGCAATATGAAAGGTCAGGGGGTCTAAATCGCATGACCTCTGCTATGCAAGCTAAGGAACAGTTATCCTGGGGGCAAGGTCCTTCTTTTCCTAGTTTTGCCCATTGCTAGGCACCCAGGGCTTTCTGTCCTGGTGACCTTCTGTACTTGGCCCATTGTCCTTCCTCTGCTCCATCTGTCTGAGTGCTTCCCACACTTCCACGGGATGAGAGAATGGCCTCCTTACCCAGGAGTCCTGTGGGGGTGAAACCCCAAAAGCCAGCATTGGTGCTGCCTGTCACCTACCAGGCCCAATAAGCAGAGACAGGGATTGAATCTCTATGGGCGCTTTATTCAGATGGCTGGTGATCTGAAAAGACAGTGGGTTTGTACCCTAATGGGCCATCTTAAATTCTGACCCTTTTCATAAGGAGAAGAAAAGTGTAGGTAAGGGGCTTGGAATTCAGGGGGAAAGTTTAATTAGATGAAAGCTGCAGCATTCTTTCATTTCTGTCCTGGGCCAAGGTCTTTATCTGTGTCCTGGGCGGTGAGCTTCTCACCCTGGAGCACAATGGCTCAGATACCATTTTGATTGCTTGCAGTTTTCCTGGGGCACAACGATTGCTTATGGTCTCCTGGAGTCAAGGTGGGTCACACCTCCAGTTCCTGAAACAATGGCTTTTTACATACAATGATGACTAAGCTTATTAGCTATTACCTGAAACTAAAATTTTCCCCAAAATTGACTCCCCATCAGGGCATGGACAAGGGTAAAAGCTGGGACTTCTGACCAGCATGGAGGTGTAGGTAAATATACTTTGCCTCCTTGCACAACCAAAAGAAGGACAATAAATTTAAAAACAAAAAATAACCAGAACTGACAGAAAATCAAACTGTATAGAAGTCTAACAACCAACTACTTAAAGAGAACATATTCATTCAGACAGGCAGGAGTGGCAGAGATGTGCAGCCAGGGTGGAGAGGATGTGCGGCCAGGTGGTGGCTAGCAGACCTGGTGGTCCCACATTTGCACGGGGATAAATGGGGAGGAACAACTGGGGAGTGAGACAGACCGCACAACCCAGGATTGCAGCATGGAGAAAAGAAAGTCTCAAAACCTCTGGTTGTAAACACCTGTGGAGATTGTGGCAGCAGGAGAAACACCCAGCCTCACAGGTGAGTTTGTGGAAGAGACCCACAGGGTCCTCTAGGACCCACAGAGTCCTAGAACATACACAAACCCATTCACCTGGGAATCAGCACCAGGAGGCCCAATACACTTGCGGGTAGCAGAGAACGTGACTCAGAGCCGACCAAGCAGCATCGTTCCCTCTCTGACTTCTCCACATGTAGTACCACAGTGTAATAAAGTGGGTTGCCTCCTCCGTGAATACTTAAGGTTCCGCCTCTTACAACGTAACAGTTGCACCAAGACAAATTTTTTTTTAAAAAGGCCCAAATGAAAGAACAGATCAAAGCTCCAAAAATAGAACTAAGCAACAAGAGGATAGCCAAAGTATCAGACACAGAGTTCAAAACACTGGTAATCAGGATGCTCACAGAAATGGTTGCGTATGCTTGCAAAATAGAAGAAAAAGTGAAGGCTATGCAAAGTGAAATAAAAGAAAATATACAGGAAACCAACAGGGAAGGGAAGGAAACCGGGGCTCAAATCAACAATTTGGAGCAAAAGGAAGAAATAACATTCGACCAGAACAGGATGAAGAAAAAAGAATTTAAAAAAGAAAGAAAAGAGGCTTAGGAACCTCCAGGACAACTTTAAACGTTCCAACATCTGAAACATAGGGGTGCCAGAAGGAGAAGAGGAAGAGCAAGACATTGAAAACTTATTTGAAAAAATAATGGAGAACGTCCTCAATCTGGCAAAGGAAATAGACTTCCAGGAAGCTCAGAGAGTCCCAAAGAAGTTGGACCCAAGGAAGCACACACCAAGGCACATCATAATTACATCACCCAAAATTAGAGATAAGGAGAGAATCTTAAAAGTAGCAAGAGAAGAGGAGACAGTTACCTCCAAAGGAGTGCCCATAAGACTGTCAGCTGATTTCTCAAAAGAGACCTTGCAGGCAAGAAGGGGCTGGAAAGAAATATTCCAAATCATGAAAGGCAAGGACCTGCATCCAAGATTTCATTTAGAATGGAAGGGCAGAGAAAGTGCTTCTCAGGTAAGGTCAGGTTAGAGTTCATCATCACCAAGCCCTTATTATATGAAATGTTAAAGGGACTTATCTAAGAAAAAGAAGAACAAAATTATGAACAGTAAAATAACAACAGGAAAACTCACAACTATCAACAACTGAACCTAAAAAACAAACTAAACAGACAGCAAGAACAGGAACAGAATCACAGAAATGGAGATCACAAGGAGGGTTATCAGCAGGGAGTGGTGGGGGGAAATTCCCTCTAAAGATAAATAAATAAAATGTTAAAAAAGAAAATGTCATCCCCATGCACCAAAGTTGTGGGTTCAATTCCTAGTTAGGGTACATACAGAAGTCAATGTTTCTGTCCCTCTCTCTTTCTCTATCCATTCCTTCCTCCCTTCCTCCCTCTCAAATCAACAAAATAATTTTAATATTTTAAAAGACTTTATTTATTTATCTTTAGAAGGGGAGGGAAGGAGAGAGGGAGAGAAATATCAGTGTATGGTTGCCTCTTGTGCATCCCTTGCGGGGAACTGGCCTGAAACCCAGGCATGTGTCAGACTGGGAGTTGAACCGCAATCCTTTGGTTTGCAGGCCTGTGCCCAATCCACTGAGCTACATCAGCCAGGACTAAAAAATAATTTTTAAATGACCTGAAAACTTCAGTGTCTGCCCTGAAAGAGACCCCTATCTCCTATTGCCTGCAGGGCTGAGATGCTAAAAAACAAGCACAGAATCTCATCCTGTGAGTGGATAAATTACAATAGAAATTGAATTTTCAGCCTCAGAGGATGATCACTTTTTAAGTGAGGGCATTTAATTGTGAAGAAATGGGATCATGAAAGTTGGAATGCAGACGTGTGAGAAGATTGACAGAGCTGGGGTGTTAGAGGGGTCACTGGGGGGGGCTGTGAAAGAATTCAGAGAGGAAAATGCAGAGAACAAAGTTTGTTCACTTTCTAAGAGGGGAAGGGGGCCAGGAGTGGAAACATGCTGGCTCTAAGAAGTTGGGGTTTTAAGCTTTTATTGGCTTATAAAGGGTCGGGTTGCTGTTGTGTAGCCAGCCACTGAGCTGTCAAGGGCATTTTAACCCAGGAGGTTTTGGAAGCTGCAGTTTACTCCAGTGTCATCTTTTGCCTGTGGCTGTCAGGAGCGGCTAGTCACATTCTGTTCTTGCTTTCCCAGTAATTTTATAGTCCTGTGGACATAAGCTCAGAATACAGCAAATGGCCCAGCTTTGTCCTTTCATGAAGAATGTTGAGTCCCTAAATTCTGATGAGTCTTTTTGTACCAGCAAAAGCGGTTCTTCCTCGGCATCTGAGGAGTGCAGCCTTGCCTTTGGAAATGGTTGTGGCCTCCCCTGAGGCAGTTAGTTTGCAAGACAATTCTGATTCTCCTCAGGACCCACTCCAATACCCTCCTTTGCTTCTCGACTCAAGTCCCAGCGGGTGCCTAAGGGGAAGGTACAAAGTGTAACCCACAAAGAGGTTTGCTATCCACCCAAAGGTCTGTGTGATTTCCCCCAATTTATACTTATGAAAATCCAGGGGATATGAGATTGGAATGTTACAGTGAAGTTATTGTGTAAGACCTGGAATAGTCCAGAGAACACATTTCTCAGCAAAACACCCACCAAATCTGTCACTGAAAAGATAGGCCATGACCTTCATGTAAACAAAAGTCTGGAGGTACCTTTTTAAAGAAATGTAAAGAGTTTATTCAGATTACAATTTGCAAATTGGGAAATGTAGTCCTCAGTCTGAACTGAGGATGTGCCCAACGTGGAAGGAGTGCAGTGTGGTTTATAAAGGCTAAAGTTCAAGGAGCTGTTGATTAAAGAGATGGATTGCTAGGGAAAACAAGACATCGTAACTGTACATCGTTTGTTTTCTGATTGGTGGGGGCAAATGGAACTTCAGTGATTGGCTGCCTCAGGGATTAAGCAAATGTGGTTGTGAGATGAGAACAGTGGGTAATAATATATGATTAAACATTCATCAAGTCCCAGTTTCAGCTCAGCCTGTAGGCCTGTAGGATAAAACAGTTGTCTTTGATCACACAACCATAGTACAGAGAATATTTTTTAAATATTTTAAAAGATTTTATTTATTTACTTTTAGAGAGAGGGAAAGGAAGAAAGAGGGAGAGAAACATTGATGTGAGAGAGAAACCTCTGTCGGTTCCCACTTGTACACACCCTGACTGGGGACCCAGCCCACCACCCAGGCATGTGCTGTGACCGGGGGGATTGAAGTGGCCACCTTCAGCTTTGTGGGATGACAGCCAACCACCTGAGCCATTCCGGTCAGGGGAGTACAAAGAATACTTTTTTAACAGTGACACGGAGTGTACAATTTATCAGACAGTACAATCAGTACAGGGGTGGGGGCAGTTCTGGAGCCAAAAGGCAAAGTTACCTTCTGCAAGCAGCTGCAGAGCTCAGGGCCACAAATTATGAAATTAAAATTCTTATGAGTCCTCACACCTTTACCAGTATGTACTTTTCCTACTTCCTCTACTCTGACCAGCTTGTCACATGCCCATAGTGTGCCCAGTGGGGTGGGAAATGTTATTTGCCTTAAACCATTCCGGATCTATTCCTGGGGTTAAGGATGGGACCAAATCCCAGGCTGATGTCAACTAAGTATTCTATCACCAAAAGGGTTTTTTTTTTGGCAGGGTGTGGGGAACAAATTCTAATCTAGTATGTGCAGACACATGAATGAAAAACATATACCTGCTGTGTCAGTACCACATGCTAACCAGCTGGGCCACTGGAGATCTCCTCCATAAGCCCTCTGATTTCTGTCAGGTTAATTAAGGTCTCTGTCATAATTTCACCACTGAAAATTGCTGGTAGGGGGTGATGCATGTAGTTCTCAGTGGGAATTCTGAGTACCTGGGAAAGGGAATAGATGATGGGCACTAAACAGATGTTCTGCCCTGATAGGTGTGGCTCAGTGGATTGAGTGCTGGCCTGCAAACCCAAAGGTCACCCATTCGATTCCCAGTCAGGGCACATGGCGGGGTTGTGGGCCAGGTCCATAGTTGGGGCCATGCGAGAGGCAACCAATAGATGTATCTCTCACACATCAATGTTTCTCTCCCTTTCTTTCTGCATCCTTTTCCTTCTCTCTAAAAATAAATAAATGAAATCTTTAAAAAAAATTAACAGACGTCCCCTTGCTGAATTTCTTCTGTCCCTGCAGAGGGAATCCAGGCTTGTTCTGTAACCACCCACATCGGCACAGGGCAGGCTGGGTTCGTGTTCCCAATCAGCACAATGGATTTGGTATTTCAATTCTCATCACAGAGTAAAAGTTTTGTTCTATTTTTAGCATATATTTTTATTTATTAATTTTGAGAGAGAGAGAGAGAGAAATGTTCATTTGTTGTTCTACTTATTTATGCATTCATTGCTTGTTTCTTGTATGTGCCCCGCTTGAAGATTGAACCGGCAACCTTGGCGTATCCGGACAACTCTCTAACCAACTGAGCTACTCCGCCAGGGCTAAAAGTTCTGTTCTTAAAGAAAAGTTTGAAACACATGCATAAATGTATCTAGGCAACTGGATGGAACCAAATCCTGTTTATTTTCATAGCCAGTGGACGTGCTACTTTGGGGATCTCCCAGAGTGTCTGAAGCAGCCAAGACTTTATTACTTGTGCCTCCACTAAAAAAGTAGTAATGGTAACCTCAGATTGACCGCTTACACCTGCAAGCTCTGTACACTATGTGCCCTCCATGCAATAGCTCTTTAACTCTCCCTGGACCCCATGAGGTTGCTACTGTCATCTGACTTTCTCGACGAGGAACCTGAGGTGCAGGGATATAAGCAGCTGGCCCAAGGCAGTGGCGTGGTGAAGGACCACCTCCTGGTTCATAGCCAGTGGCTTCTGGCTGTGTCCTCACCTGGTGGACAGGGGGGAAGGGGCTCTACAGAAGCTCATTTACAGAAACACTATCATCCATGAGGGCTCCACCCTCGTAACCTAAACACCTCCCCAAGGCCCCCACTTCCTGGTACCATTACATCATGCATTAGGGTTTCAGCACACGAATGTGAGGGGAAAGACCCAGACATTCAGACCCTAGCAGTAAGTTCCCATAAGTTTCTAAAGGGTAGGTTCCAGGGTGTGTGAAAGTTGGAGGGAGTGACTGGAGACAACAGAGTGGAACTTGGTGCGTTTCTACAGGGAATTGGATGGAATCCACTGAGGTTCCCAAGTTTTCAGAACTGCAAGAGACAGGCTGCCGTGCTTGCCTACGGAGAGGAACCATGACCAGGATTGGGGCTGTGAGACCTGGAGTCGGAGGGCACCCTCATCCTAATTGAAAATGTTCTATTTAAACACTTAGCAAAATGTCATGCTAGCAAATATTATATTTAGCAAGTGTCATATTTAGACACTTAGCAAACATGATTATCAAGTAATCAGGTTGCTCAACAGAGGTCTCAGTTATCCCACCTGTGAAAAGGAGATGAGACCCACTGCCCCTGGCTGGAAAGGTTTAAATGAGATATGCATGTCATCTTTCTGGCACTTAACAGGCACTTCATAAATAGTAGCTGTTATGGTTATCATTTTAATCATACATAGATCCATTTTGAGCTTATTCAAATAATTGAACACATTGTAAATTACACGATAATAACAAATGTCATTGTTGGCAGATCTGTGGATCCAGAATAGCACCTGAAGTAGCTCAGAGGTCATTTAGAAGGCTCTTGGCCCAGTGGTCTTGGAAGAAATTGGATCTGAAGATGGCATCTAGGGTGCTGTGGGGCAGCCTCAGCCTGCTCCGTCTGCTGTGGTGTCTCCTTCCACAGACAGGATATGTGCACCCAGATGAGTTCTTCCAGTCACCTGAGGTCATGGCAGGTAAAGCACCCCATGTGTGGTTAAGATAAACTGCAGCAAAGTTTGGATTAGAGCTGACTGCATATTTAGTGGGGAGGGAGAACCATATCTGTGCAGATGAACAGTAAGTCCATGAGGCTCTCTGGAATAAGAACTTGAGGATGGGAACTTCACATTTCCTTTCCTAAGTGGTAACATTGACCTTCTGGATGGTAACTAATGAAATGACAGCCTTGTTGATGTTTTCCAACTTAGACCAACAGTACAGGTTACTGGGAGGAAAAATTGTTTTGTATTGCTCAATGGGAGGATTTGTATTCTGCTACCCCAGTGACTGGGAAAACTTACACAGGGTTGTAATCTGAACTAATGTTGATTTACATGAGGGCCGAGGGAACCCAGACCTGAAATGGTCACTTGTTAGAACTTATCTGGTAGGTGGTGTCAGGACACATCATGAAGATAGTTATTAGTTACCTTGAGCCTTTTCAGATGCTTTGGCGCATGGCTTCCTCCTCATGGTCGAAGATGGCTGCTTGAGCCCCAGCCATCACTAAAACCAAGTCTTTCCAGCCACTGGAGAAGAAATGGGCATGCCTGCTCTTTTCTACGGCATTTTTGAAAGTTGCATATCTTTTGCCCATTGCTATCCCATTAGTCAGAATGTAACACATGGCCACGCCTTGCTGCAAAGGAAGCTGAACATTACAGTTTTTATAACTGACCAAACGTCCCACTAAAGAGACTAAGGAATAAGGAGGGGTTGGGTATTCGGGAGACATAGGCATTCCACTATTTCTGCCACAGACCTCAACAAGTGGATTTCACTTGAAAGGTCCAGTCTTCTTTTCTATACTTTTTAAAACCAGAGGTAGTAAAAAGTAGCCAGATCGATCTGACCCTAGATTTTCTGTTTCCCTTTCACCTTGTGACACAGGGAAAATGGCTAAAAGGCTGGAGGAATAAGTAGGGGAAACAAAGAGCCCTAAAACCAGCAATGTTGTCAAGATGAGAAGATGTGGGGTGGAGCTGAGATGCAGAAATTAGAAGTTTGTTTCCTTCGTCCTCACCCCTCAGAGCTCTGGGACACTGGAGCACAGGGTCACAAACCAGGGCCAGCTGACAAGTACCCTTTTAATTACCTAAGTACTGCCTGAATATATTCCTCTTATAAAAAATTTAAAGATAAACAAAACTAAAGTCACTTTGGACCATAGCCACAATTGCTCATTCCCTTCCTCCTCCTCACACTGCCTGTCCTGGATAAGAATCATCATTACAGAGATGCGTTTTTTTACTCTGACTTTGGAGACTTTAAATCTGAAGAAAGGATTGGAACCTCTCCCTGCCCCTCCCCCATGCACCCTGTCCAGGGAACATCGTCACCTCATGTCCCCGGCACAGTTCCTCCTGCTCCCTCCACAGGTAGGGCCAAACTCTCCTATATTCATTTCTATTGCTGCATAACAAGTCGCCACGAACCTAGCAGCTTAAAACTGTTAGTTCACAGTTCTGTTGATTAGAAGTCAGTCGTGGGCTCTCTTAGGGCAGCACGAGATTGAAATCAAAGTATTGGCCGGGCTGAGTTCTTGTCTGAGGCTCTGGGTGGACAATCTGCTGTCCAAGCTCATGCTTCTTGTTGGAAGAATTTAGTTTATTTTGGCTACGTGACTAAAGTCCCCATTCCCTGCTGTCTGTCATCCAGGGGCTGCTCTCAGCTCCTAGAGGCTGCCCACATGCCTTGCCAATGGCTCCCTCCATCTTAAGACAGCAAAGGTGCATCAAACCCTTTTAATGGTTTGAATCTCTGATGTCCTTTTCTGTCACCAGCTGGAGAAAACATTACTTTTGGAGGGCTCCTGTGATTATTTCAGGTCCATCTGGGTTATCTATCTTATAGTAAACTGTCCCCTGGGTCATGAACTAATCACAAGAGTGTAATCCATCATTTTCACAGTCCCAGGGGTTATGTGGGAAGTCAGCACTAGGGGGCTCAAATATCTTGGGAGCCATCCTAGAATTTTGTCTATCGTAATCCCTAAGCTTGGGACTGGTTCGCCTCTGCTTCTCTCTCTACAGAGGACATCCTGGGCATAGAGGCTGCCCGGCCTTGGGAGTTTCAGCCCAGCAGCTCCTGCCGCACTGTGGTCTTCCCACTGCTGACCTCTGGCTCTGCTTTCTGGCTGCTCAAGCTCTGGGAAGCGTTGGGGCCCTGGCCCATCCCAGTGAGTGGCTACGTGCTGCTGGTGGCGCCCCGGCTCCTCCTCACTGCCCTCTCCTTTGCTCTGGATGTGGCCGTTTACCACCTGGCCCCGCTGTGGAGGGCAGAGCGCTGGAATGCCCTGGTCCTGCTGTCTGGTTCCTACGTCACCCTGGTCTTCTATACAAGGACCTTCTCCAATGCCATCGAGGGACTGTTCTTTGCATGGCTGCTGGTACTGGTATCCCCCCGTGTAGCTCAGAGCCCCACAACCAAAAGGCCTGCTCCGTGGTGGCACAGCTGGCTTCTTGGCAGCATCGTGGCGGCTGGCTTCTTCAACCGGCCCACCTTTCTGGCCTTTGCTCTGATCCCCATCTTTCTCTGGGGCATTTGTGGAGCCACGGACCCTGCCTTCAAGTCACTGACCAAGGAAGCCCTGGGGCTCCTCCCAGGATTGACCCTCACTGCATCAGTGTTTGTGGCTGCGGACAGCTGGTATTTCTTCACGCCGTCTAGATCCAGGGCCCTTGTCCTGACACCTGCCAACTTCCTGCACTACAACCTGGATCCTCAAAACCTGGCGAGACATGGCACACATTTGCGGCTCACTCACCTGGCAGTCAATGGCTTCCTGCTTTTTGGGATACTGCATGCCCAAGCCCTGCAGGCTGGGTGGCAACAGCTGCAAGCCTGCCTCCAGGCCTTCGGACAGATGGGCTCTCGGAGGCTGCCGGACACCCAGAGTCTGCTGTCCAGCCCCAGGTCTCACCTCCTGCTCCTCTACTTCCTGCCCCTGGCCCTGCTGAGTGCTTTCAGCCACCAGGAGGCTCGGTTCCTGGTCCCCCTTCTGGTCCCCTTGGTCCTGCTTTGTAGTCCACAGACCCAACCTGTGCCCTACAAGGGTACCCTGGTCCTCTTCAATGCCCTGGGTGCCCTCTTCTTTGGCTGCCTGCACCAGGGGGGTCTAGTACCTGGCCTGGAGCACCTGGAGCGGGTGGTGCATACACCTGTGTTCCCAAGCATACCTACCCACTACACACTCCTCTTCACCCACACCTACATGCCTCCCCGGCACCTCCTACACATCTCAGGTCTGGGATCGCCTGTGGAGGTGGTGGACCTGGGGGGCACTGAGGACTGGGTACTGTGCCAAGCCCTGAACAACTTCACCAGACAACCAGCCTGCCAGGTGGCTGGTGGGCAGTGGCTCTGCCGCCTTTTTGTGGTGACCCCTGGCACCACCAGGTCTGCCATGGAGAAGTGTAGTTTTCCCCTCAAGAGTGAGACACTCGTGTTTCCCCACTTGACCCTTGAGGACCCACCAGCCCTGTCCTCCCTGCTGAGTGGGGCTTGGAGGGACCATCTCAGCCTTCACATCCTGGAGCTGGGCGAGAAGCCTGACAACATGACAGAAAATCCACTGCCATAGGTGAAGGCACCGCTCCGCCTTCTGTGTAGGTAGCTGGGCTGGGACAGAGCCCAGGGTCTCTTCCATCCCTTTCCCATCCCTTCCAGAACTCCCACCACTGCCTGTCCTACACACAGCCCTTGGCTGTTTTACCTTCTGGGTAATCTGACATTCTTTTCCCCTCAAAGACCAAAGATCTGACCGGTCAAGGTCCCTAAAGAACCTGGTATAACCAATGGCCCCTAACTTCTGTTCCTGCCTATTCCTTCCAGCCACTGTACTGTTTTAAATATATGGTAGCATCTGGTTGTGAAGAGAGAACCATGTGCTAATGACATTCCTCAATGACCTGCAAACCTTCCAGGATGCCTTACCTCTTGCTGTCATGACAACCTTTTGGCTTCCAAGACACCTAGAAGAAGGCAGTGGGAACATAGAGAGAGTAGGAAGCTCAGATTCAAGGGACCCAAGTTCTAATCCCTGGTCTGATACTCACTGGCTCTGTGATCTTAAGAAAGTCTCTTCCCGTACCCAGCCTCAGTTTCCCAACCTGTACAATGGGTCAGAGGATCTCCGAGGTGTCTGCAGCACATGTCCCCTGGCTAGATAGGCACGTCTCTCCTAAAGATCTTTAAGCACAGAAGTGGGTGTGGTGGTGTAATTAATTGCACTTTTATGCCTGCTGCCTTAGTGTTTGGTTATTACTAAAAAAAAAAAAAGGATCTGAACTAGTTCTTTGCACTGCCTTCTACTCCTCTCCATCAAATATAGTGGGACATTTCAGCCTGTCATCCTTTAAGGATCATTCTCCTGGATAAAGGATCATTCTTCCTTTAAGAATCAATTTTCCTCCTGAGCCTGCTACACTCGGAGTGGAGGACACACAACAGTCAGCTTCTAGCAGCACCTTCTAGCAGGCTTCCCAGAAACTTTTCTTCTCAAATGTGATCTGGTCCCTTTCCAAGCTCCAAGGCTTTGACTGAAACCCCTCTTCACAGGATGGAGAGCGAACCCGATGCCACACCAACACCTGCTGCTTTGATGGAAGCTACCACACCCCTGAGCATGCTGCTCCCAACATAGGTCCCCTCTACCCAGTCCACTGGGGACATGAGGAGCTGTGGTACTACACCTGTCCTTCTCCCGCCTCACACCTCTGCCATCTTACGAGAACAAGAGGCAACAGAGCCACAGAGACCAGTGAGCTGGAGGTCGGCACAGAGCAGGAGACCAGACCTATACGAATGACCAAAACTGAGTCCTTTTCTAGTCTTGCCTTTTGCTGGCTAAAGCCTTGTATAATCTTAAAGCTACACCCCTTGCAGGCATGCTGTTCTGTGACTTCTGTTAGGGTCTTAGTGCCATACCTTTCTCATGACTCCAACCCTAGTAAGAGGAAATTTATTGGTAGGCTGGTAAATATGTAGCAACTTGTTTTCTGGGGCACCCCCCCCCCATTTTTAACATTTGCCCATTTCTGTGGTGTAAATACTTTCACATGGCTACTTCAAACCACTAAATTGACGTTACTGAATTCCAATTTGGGAGGAGATGCCAAGGATCTACTCCCATGAAGCAGTACAAACTGGCTCTAGAACACTACTGGACGTTTGCCTCCTTTAAATTCGAGATTCATTCGTAACAATTATTCTTGTGGTTTATGTTTCTGCTACAAATATCTTGATTTGTCTTCCTACCCCTAAGGTATCATCTCTGGCAAACGATAAGCAGCCAAAAATGGCATTTCTGTTCACAGATACAAAACCAAGTGCAACCTCAGAGACACCCAAGACACTAGGGTCCAAAAATCCTTGGACTTCTGCCTCTTCCCCAGTTGAGTCCACAACCTCAGAATTCCCTGGAAAAACTGTTGGTGTAGCAGTCCATGTAGATTGTGGTGGTCTGAACTCTATTAAATTTGCCTTTAAATGTATCTATGTGGCATCAGAAGGTGAGCTGGAATTGTCCTGCACTGCAGGGGCTGCAGGATGAGGGGGTGAGCGGCTCTGCTTTCTGGCAGAGCTTAGGAGAGCTTCAGTAGCACGCTGGGAGGCTGTTGTGGGGGTTGGGAGGATCTGGTCTGTTTCTTTAGTATTAGGGTAATTGGTGAGAAGGCAAGCCACTAATAAACACTGCAGGCTTTTACAGTGATGTGGGGAGACATCCCAATGACTTCCGGTTGGAGCAGAAAGGAGAGTTTTCTGATGCCTTCTACAGATATGGAGGGAACTTAAAGTTCTTAAATACTCCTTCCACAAAAAGTAAGCACGTGCTCCCTTCTCTTGCTTTCCTTCCTAAATGGCCAGTTTATCTTGAAATTTCATTGCTTCCTGAACCTCTTCCCTTTTTCTTTCATCCAGAAAAAAATAGTGAGTGTGCTTGTTTATATTGGAGGTAGGGGTTTGGGCTGGAGACTAATATTGTGCTGTTCTGATATCGAGACCAATGGATGGGACTGAGACCAAAGAGGCAGACAAGACAGAGTGAACAAGCTCCTCAGGATCGTCACTGCCAGGCTACAAGGAGAATCCAGTGAGTTGTCTCTGGTCTAGGAGAAGAATATGTCCTCCTGGAAGAGGAGAAGAGGGTAGGATGCCAAACCAGGATTTTGGTCATTAGGGGAACTGGACTTCTGACCTCAGAGAGGATTAAATAGCACCTCTGATGGGAAGGCTGAAGGGTGGGATACCAAGCAGGAGTCTGACCATTAGGAAAGTGGAGAACAAGCTACTTTCATTCCTTCATCCCCAAGGCAGGTGTCCAGCCCTATCCAGCTCCCCGTGACTATCAGAAAAGCCAGAGTATAAAAGTCTGTTTGGTTATCAATTGGTCTAAAAGCTTCTCCCATGGCTTTGACCTTTCTAGATTGCATGAATAACTGTGTAGCCTAATTAGAGGTGATCAGAAATTCAGTCTGAAGCCTCGAATGGCAGGACGTTTCTGTATACAATGGATTTTCCTACTACTGGGTCCATTAGCTGCACCATAATGCTTATATTCTCTCCTTAACCCTCTAAAATGGTAAATAGGAATCCAGATAGCTTATTCCATGGTAGGCAGTAGTCCTTACCACCAGTGGTGATGGTGGGGAGTAGGGAGGCAGGCACCGAAGGTCAGAGTAAATGCTATAGAGAGCTATGGACTTAGGCCCTGGAGTCAAACGCCTGGATTCACATCCCACTCTGTAAGGCCATGAGTCACTTAAGAAGCTTGTGAAAGTGGCTGTAAGGATTAAGTGATAACCCACATAGGGTGCATTCAGCAAATAGCAACACAAAGTAAGCGCTCAGTATGTTAACCATTCCCTGGGCCTATAGTGCCAGGAATCCTAATACATCTTGCTAGAGAAGTACCACACTCATATCCATTACTCAGCTTGCACATTTAATCAGCATTTTGGCACCCGCTACGTTGTCTTTCCATCCATGATCTCATCTGGAGTGCCATGCTACATCAGTGCAGAGGCAGCAGCATCACGAGTTTTAGTCCCATTCGCAGAAGGCAGGCTTTCGCTCTGTGGTACGGTCCATGGGTCTCTGTACGTGGAGAATCAGGGTCTAGCCTACCTCCGTTTCTGTTAGGCTTCGGGGTATTTCTTCACACACTGCTCTGTCCGATCTCAGGGCTGCACCGAAGATGTCCGTTTGGCCTGGGTTCTCTGATAAGTGCACCTCTACAGGCCGAAATGAGTCAGGATTCGAAGCTTTGCGCAGTGCCGGGGATCACTCATTAGAGCCCAGGCCCGTGTCCAGACCGGAAGGGAAAGCAGTAAATCTCCGCCCGGCCAAACCTGGATTTAGGGGTTTGCGTCCCGACCCTTCTGGCCACCTTGTGGTGGCCCGGGGCGCTCCCGGAGGCCGCGGCGCACCTCCTCAATGAAGGTGTCTCTGAAGCGGGCAGCGCGGCGACCCAGAGAAGCCGCGGGCCCTGCCCCAAGACCTCGCAGACGTCTCGCCGCGTCCTGGCCGCGCAGCTGGGCCTGCAGTAGAGCGAAGGCAGTGAGCTGCGCCGCACGCCGGATAGGCCGCGACTCAGCCAGGCGCTCCACTAGCTGCGGGCTGTGCAGCAAGACGGCCAGCAGCCTCCGTAAGACCATCCTTGGAGCGACCCGGAACCTGTAGCGCGCCGCCTTGGCGTCTAATCGGCGACGCTACTTAACGGACCACGTCTAATCCCACACCGCCCAGTGACGACACTACCGCGCTAGGATTGGTTGACAAAAGTACGACGTCGCCGCCGAGCGTTTCCGGTTCCGTCACCTCTTTGGCGGCCCGTTTCTCGGAGTGACCGTGTGACCGTCCACTTCTCTGCGCTATGTCCGGTGGCCTCCTGAAGGCGCTGCGCAGCGACTCCTATGTCGAGCTAAGTCAGTACCGGGACCAACACTTCCGGGTAAGGGAGGCCGGACTGCGAGAAGGGAAGGCCCTGGGCCAGAACGCTGGGTTGGTTTTCTCTGGTCTCATACGGTCGTTCCCCATTCTCTGGTTTCTGGAAATCCTGAGAGGCCCGCTGCCTGCTGGGGAAGTAATGCTGAAAGGGCGTTTGGGTATCACTAAATCTCCTCTCTCAGAAAGTGCATTTGAGGCTCGCCCTCCCAATCCCTTGCAGCCGCTCTCTGTTTCTGGGCCGATGTAGAAGGGTTCGAAGGGCAATAGTGGTGGCTCACGTTTTCCTTGACTGTGCCTTGGTAACTTTCCCTTAAGGGGAAAGGGTATCCTTCTGACATATGGAGTGTGTGGAGGCGCCTTCCTGACCCAGATATTGATATCTGGGGCCTTTTATTATGTTTTGGTTTAGATTAGCCAAACGGCCCTTTGGCGCTTCGAATCCTTCTACGCAGTGGGTGGGAGACAAAGTTGAGCCCAGGCTTCACCCCTAGGGAGCCGTAGGAGTGGGGAGATGGACCAGCCCGGCACGTTGTGTCTAGATCAGGGATTTTCATCCTTTTTCATCTCACGGCACACATAAACTAACTCCTACAATTTCGTGGCACACCAAAAAAAATTTTTCTCTTCCTACTAAAAAATAGGTATGATTTTAATCCATTCACACCAGACGGCATTTTGTTGTGTTGGCTATTGTTATTTTTAAAAAAGATTTGATCATCTAAAAGAAAAGAGATCAGGTACTGTGTGTTTTAAAAATTCTTGTGGCACAACGGTTGAAAATCGTTGGTCTATATGTCAAAATCAGAACTGCTAGGCCTCAGAAGAGGAAAATTTTAATTGGGCCTATGTCATAGATTTTGTGGAAAAAGAGAAGGCAACAGATATTCAAGGTGGTTTGTTCGCTAGCAGCAAAGGGTGGGGTGGAGCGAGCCTCATTAACCACTGCTCTCTGGTGCTGTTGCTGAAGCCCTCTGCTAAACCCTACAAGCGTGTCCGGCCTGTGGCCCTGCCTGCATTCAGCTCAGGCTGTCTGTGAATGAGTTCCAGCACAAAATTGTAAATTTACCTAAAACATTATGAGGGGTTTTTTTGTGTGTGATTATGTCCCACTGTATTCAATGTATGTCCCAGAGATGCCAAAAGGTTGGACATCCCTGCAAGAGAGGGAAGACATTTCCACACTCCTAAGAGCTTGTAATCCCATAGTAGGGATGTTAAATGGAGGCAAGTAATCATCACCTAGAGCAGAAATAAGTGTAAAGGAAGGACGGGCTGTGAGAATTCAGAAAAGGGATATAACCCTGTGACTGGACAAGAAGGGGGCACATATTGAAGAAGGTAGGTGTGGGGAATGTGTAAACAGCATTATTAGAGTAGGAAAAGGAAATTTTGTTTGAGTCCAGAGAGGAAGGTCTTAAATTCCTTTACTCAAGTCAACCGATTTTAAATGTTTACCATGTGCCAGGCACAATTTTCACTTGTCACTTAAGAGTTCTCATTAGTTTAGAAAGTTCCACATCATAACTATCTGGAATTTCAAGCATCCTGAAAAGTAGACACTGAAAAGATTTAACTTTTCCTATTCTTCCCTGAACTCTAAAGCCTGTAGCTTTATTTAGATAGTAGTAAGATTCTGTCATGCAGAATTTCTAATGTTCCCTGAATGGAATCCACATTAATATCATACCTTAAGTACAACACAGTTGTTTTGAGCCATAGGCTATTTGTTTGGACATTATTTGAGTAAAGTAAAAAGAAAAAAGGAAATGACCTCCTGACCGTAATTTTAACAAATAAAAAAAACTCTATTACAGTAGTAATACAAATAAAGTGCATCTAATGTCTTATTCCAAAGTTCTGAACACCTAATGTCTTGGGGGCTTTATAGTTCTTACAGGTTTTGTTTATTTATTTGCAGAGGGAGGGAAAAAGAGAGGGAGAGGCACAATGATCAGTTGCCTCCTGCAGGCCCCCACCTGGGGTCCTGGCCTGCAACCCAGGCATGTACCCTGACCAAGAACAGAACTTACGGACTTTCGGTTTGCTGGAGCACGCCTGACCCACTGAGTTGCACCAGTCAGGGCACCCTGGGGACTTTTTAAGGAAGTAGGGGATTGGGTATAAGACTGGATTTGAATTCCAGCTACAACTACAGACTAGCTGCCTGCTTAACAAGTCTTAACTGTCTTTACTGAGGTGTAAAATGGGAATAAATTAGGACCTACCTCAGTTCTCAGAATTAAATGAGACCTCATACATGGAAGTCTGTGACCTCCAGTCCCTTGATTCTCACTGGTCAGACATACTTACCTTTTTCTTGTTTATGATATCTATGTATATTCATACTTTAGAAAATATAAACTTGGAGCATATCCTTCACATTATTCTGTACTTTTTCACTTTGATCACTATTATGGAAATGTTCTATATCACTGTATGTGGATGAAGACTTTTCTTGGGGCTAGTTTTATTTATTGAGGTATCATGATTTAGTTCATCATTTTCCTTTTGATGTGACTAGATGGTTTCTCTGTTCTGCCACTGAACCTAAGCACACGACCAATTACTCTGAACACTGTACCACAAAGCATTCAGAGATGAAGAATGCAAAGTCTTATTCTCCGAGTGAAGAAACTGGATTAATATTCTAAACAGACCAGTGAATGAAAAAGCTGTGCCGTTTGGAAAAGTGTGCCGGTGGCCTAAATGATTCTGTTCAGCTGCTTTCCAAGTTTGAATACCACTGTGTGGCTGGTATTAGAGCCCAAACATGGGTGTGAGGGCCTGAGAGCAGGTTAGCTGGTGGGTCTTCTATTTAATCAGTGCTTGTCCTCCCCAGTGTGGAGGCTAAAAGATTTTCTCCTAAACTCAGAGAAAAATATATGAGCATGTAAACTCCCTAAGCAGTCGTTGCTTTGGACATTCTTTATGGGAGGGTTACAGGGGTGCCCTGTCTCTGCAAATCCATTTATTTTTCATTGCAGAGGTTAAAAACGCCCTTTCAAATATATTGGTTCAGGCCTGGAAATTAAACTTGGACTATTAGAAAAGGATCCAGTGCTGAGGATATGAGTATTCAGGAAAAGGAATGCCCACTTGTGCGACAGGCAGTATGGTACAGGGAAAGGAAGGCTATGTGCAATGTAACTTTCAAGTCATGGCCCTCTATGAAAAGCAACCTGGAACTTTCATGAGTGTTTCATAGATTGTGAACACCTCTCTCTCCCCCACCTTTTTTTTTGGGGGGGCAAGGTATTTGTCATAGATTGGGATGATGAGAGAAGCTGATTCCCGATTCAGAATTAATGAAAAGTTTTTGACTATTAGCAATACTACTTAAGCAGGGCTCTTATATTGTGTTAACTGTTTCTCTGTTTGAAATTCTAGGGTGACAATGAAGAGCAGGAAAAATTACTGAAGAAAAGCTGTACACTGTATGTTGGAAATCTTTCCTTTTACACAACTGAAGAACAAATCTATGAACTCTTCAGCAAAAGTGGTGACATAAAGAAAATCATTATGGGCCTGGATAAAATGAAGAAAACAGCATGTGGTTTCTGCTTTGTGGAGTATCCTTCCTGTGTATGATGTAGCTATTGGATGAAGGTGGGATCTAGAGCAGTTAGTCATCTGCTTAAAAAAACTGAGTGAGGATATTTGCTAATTAGCATCCCTAATCTTAGATCTCTTTCTCCTTCCTCCATCTACTCCTTTCTGTCCAGTGTGAGTATACTCTTACACTATGAAAGCTGGTAACATTTATATTCTCTTCTGAAATCCACTTTGTTTACAGCTAATTTCTTTAAGAAAAATAATTTTGCAAGAATATATGCTCATGTATTTAAAAAAGTCAAGGGTATAGTGAAAGTAGTATCCCTGTACCATTTTAAGCCCAGAGACAATCAGTTACCAGTTTCTTGGGTGTCTTTCCAGAAAAAATCCTGTGGATGTGTGGTAGTATACTGCATGCACTGTATTTTTTCCCCTCTTAGAGGTTGTTCCACATTAGCACATGTAGGTCTACTTTTTAAAATGGCTTTATAGTATGTATCACATATTAGGTGTATATAGCTTGAGTTTTATAGATCAAAACCAAAACTGTATTTGTTATGATCATTTAGTCTCTTCCTGGAAACTGTAAATATTGGAACTTATGAATTTACTATTTTACCCCCTAATATCTTTCTTTTTGTGGTCATTTTGTTTTATATGGTGAGAAATCTCCCAGACGTGATCTAACATGTCTTTTGAAAATTGTGTGTCCTAAATTATGTTTGTTTGTGTTTATGCTGTAAGTTTTCCATCAAGGTTGGGTTTCCAATCATAATTAGGAAAAAGGCTGCTCATTTTGTGGACCCAGGCAGAGCTGCTCTCTCCGTCGTTGCCTTACCTTTCAGGTGTGCGGGTTTCCCAAATGCCAGGAAGAATTGTATTTTGGCCAGCTAGCATCAAGAGGTGCCCTGGTTGCTCCAGACACTTTGTTCAGAACCCCATCATTTCATTTGTATTTATTTTAAATGAAATGCCTTCCTACTAGCAAGTCTTTCCACAGACTATTAATTTTTGCAGCTTCACTTCTTATTCAGCTATGAATTTAGAGATCCTGGGTTTCCTGTCTCCTCCTCTGAACTGTTTTAGAATACCTCAGACTGTGACTTTGTTTCGTCCTTTAGCACTCTCCCACTGGCTTTTGTTGAATCACTAGTCTGCTGATGGCCTCTTCTATTTTCTGGCTGTATGTTTTCTTTTCTCTCATTCATTGGGTCTTGAGAAGGAAAGGAGGGAAATGTGCTACTAGCTTGAACCATAAACCCCACTTTTGTTTTTGGTATCTGGTTTCTGGGTTCTGCAAGCTTCTTCCTTCCATTCTCCCTTCACACGCAAGGAACCAGAGTGCCCATGTTTTGCTTTTGCCTCTGATAGCAATAGTTCACAGGGGACAGAGAGAACAATGAAAACACAAAAGACAAAGGAAATCCACCCTGTACGTCATAATCAGTCTGACAGTATTTTTGCTTTTGTCTTACAGGTCAAAGATGAACAATCATAATGGCAAATACCCCAAAGAGGTTGCCACTGGCACTGTTAATTTTGTTTGCCCTTTTAGCATGCATTTCACTCATCAACATAAAATTATTGAATGCCCACTATGTGCTAGGCACCTTGTAGGTTCTAGACACTGGAATTTCAGCAAGTGTTTCCCAGTATAACTAAAGACAAGGGGGAAAATGTGTAGATCAGCATTTCTCAGTCTTTCCTTTTAATGAAATGCAATGGTAATTCCATGTGCCCAGTGACCCCTTTTATTAAGGTTGTTCTTCAATATACAGCCCCAAATTTGGACACAAGTGATTCCTTGGATAAGTGTACATTTTGTGACCTAAACTTACCCTAAACATATTTTACAAATCAAAATATGGGGAGAACAGGATCAAATAATTATTAACAGGATTACTCAGGAAATCATGACCACTGTAGCCATGCCTAAGTGTCATATTTGACTCTAGTGCTTCTGGACCAACCTGAAATAGGCCTGTGCAAACCAAATTACTGTCTTTAAATTCCATTTGGTTGGACTAGTTTTTGTACTTCTTAACAACTCAGTTTCATTTAGCTGTTCCTTGCTGTACTTCCAAAAAGGTTTGAAGAAATGCTATGTAGTGTTCCTTAATATTTACACTTAAGATACTATTCAAGACCAGATGCAGAAAATGCCATGCGGTACATCAATGGAACTCGTCTGGATGACCGGATCATTCGCACAGACTGGGACGCAGGCTTTAAGGAGGGCAGGCAGTATGGCCGTGGACGGTCTGGGGGCCAGGTATGCAGGGTCTCTGGGCTTAGCCTTTACCTGGGATTCCAGTCCTAATGACAAGAGTTACAACTTTGTGCCTAAGGCCCTGACCAGGTAGCTCAGTTGGTAAGAGCATCATCCTGATACACCGAGGTTGCACATTTGATCCCTGGTCAGGCAGGGCACGTTTATGCATTCATTGGTTGATTCTTCTAACTGAAACAGCAAATCAATGTTTCTGTCTGTCTTCTCCTTTCTCTCTCTCTCTCTCTCTCTAAAAATAAGTTTAAAAAATGAAAAAATAACTGTGCCTATAACTGGCTTGAAGTGAATCTGAAAACATCCATTGGGATTAGTAAATTTTTTTTAACCAATGAAATGGTATATTCTGTACATTTCCATAAGCAGCTATTAATGGACTTTAGGGGCTAGATATTTTCCATTTGTGAAAGTGTCCAGAACAAAAAACAAATGTATTGAAATGAGTTTTGTTTTTATTTGTAATAGATAACCAAGTTTAACTACTTTGAAATTTTTTTATTATTATTTATTTATTTTTTAGAGAGAGGGGAAGGGAAGGAGAAAGAGTGGGAGAGAAACATCAATGTGTGGTTGCCTCTCACATATCCCCTACTGGGGACCTGGCCTGCAACCCAGGCATATGCCCTGACTGGGAATCGAACCGGTGACCCTTTGCTTCACAGGCCCATGGCTCAATCCACGGAGCTACACCAGTCAGGGCTGGAATGTGTTATTTTTAATGCTGGTGAGTGATAATGTACTTGGTGCTTGGTAAAAACAAAATAAAACCCTTTTAGGTGTTCTCATAATTCTGTATAGCAGTTAAGCTCTTTTGTTTTTAAATCCTCACCTGAGGACATGCTTATTGAATTTAGAGAGGAGAAAGGAGGGAGAAAGACAGAAACACTGATCGGCTGTCTCCCACACACGCCCCAACCGGGGATCAAACCCATGACCTTTCAGTTTATCCAGTAACACTCCAACCGAGCCACACCAGCCAGGGCAAGGCAGTTAAGCTTTGAATTAGTTACTTTTATTTATTTTTTCCTATTAGATTCTTAAAAATATTTTATTTATTTATATTTAGAAGGGAGGGGAAGGAGAGAGGGAGAGAAACATCAATGTATGGTTGCCTCTCGTGAGTCCCCTGCTGGGAACTGGCCTGCAACCCAGGCATGTGCCCTGACTGGGAATCAAACTGCGACCGTGTGGTTCGCAGGCCCGCACTCAATCCACTGAGCTATGCCAGCCAGGGCTGAATTAGTTGCTTTTAGAAATTACATCCTGTTTGAATGTTCATTCACATTATGACATCTGAAAAGGCATATCAGCTATTTGACATATTTGTGGGAGATATTTGTTACACTGATCTTCTCTGTACTGTAACTTGTGTTCTTTTCAATTAAGGTACGAGATGAGTATCGACAGGACTATGATGCTGGGAGAGGAGGCTATGGAAAACTAGCCCAAAACCAGTGAGCAGTTCAGAACCCCACCAAGAAAAATTCACTCCTTTAGCCTGCTGAATTTCACATACGTTACCCAAGGTCTGCAAACCTGCTATTTTTACCAAGCTTTGAGAGCCAGAAGCCCACTTCATGGTTTTCCTCTGAAAATTATTAAAGGACAAAATTCAAAAGAATGCCTTTAATTCTAGTCTTAGAATATTGGCCATATGTCAGGTTACCTTGATTTCCTTTTGAGGTCAAAAATTGTGTTCCTTGGCAACAGATTTTATCTATAATGTTGATCTAACACACACACACACACACACACACACACCCACCCACCCACCCACCCACCCACCACCACCCCAAAACTCACTTTTAGGAAAATTGAAAATTCAAAATTAAAATTTTGTTCACATTTATGTCTAAATAGGTCCATAGTCTACACTGGGGCCTGGAATTACTATTTAAAATTTTTTAAGTTTCCTTGAGATAAAGTTTAATAAATCAAGTTTTGTGATATTGTATAGCTTTTGTTTTTAAAAAATCCCCACATGAGGACATGCCTATTGGTTTTAGAGAGAAGGGAAAGGAGGCAATGGGGTGGGGGGGAACATCTATGTAAGAGAGAAACATCGATTGGTTGCCTCTAATATGCCCCCAAACCAGGCACCAAACCTGTAACCTAGGCATGTGCACTGACTGGGAACTGCACCCATGACCCTTTTGGTTTACCCAGGGCAATATTGTATAAGCTTTGCTCTAAATTAGGAACAAATGTTTGACAACTTAATTTATTTCTATGATGAATTATAATCTCTAAATGCAAACTTAGGTGTTAAGAAAACTCCCTAAATAGTTGGTCCAAAAGTAAGCCTTACAGCCCCAGGGGATACCACCCGCTTACATATCAGGAAATTAGGTATGAGACTTGAAGAGTATTTACTAAACACCTTTTTTTCAAAAGATGTGTTTTTCCTGAGGCTAAAAAAAAAAAGTAAGTTGGTTTGTATTACAGAGAACCTTGAATACTACTCTCTAAGGGAAGTGGGGGACACTGTCAGTAAGAAATGGATTGAAATATCGGGGGACATGAATTAAAACATTGCCCTTGATATGTTGAAGGTTGCTGTGAGGGCCATCAGATTTATTCTTTTCATTTTCAGAGTTGTCTTGGGAATGGAGTAAGTTTTTAAAAAGAGCTTAAAGGTTGAGAGACTGCCTAATGAAAACGATCAGAAATGCTTCCCTCAGGAACTGTGTTCTGGCTGATTCTCATGTTGAAGTCTGTCTTGTCTTTTTGATTAATTGTGCTACTGACTTTCAGAACGTTGGCAGTGATGGTCTCCACAGAGAGGAGAGTCTAGAATATTTATTTTGCATTTGTAAGGCAAGAGGTGATTCCTAACAGTGTATTGAACTGTCGCTCATTTAAAACTGTTAATCTAGTATAATTTTCCTTGATATAAGTTTTTTCCATCTAGCAACACAGTTTATGAAACTTGTGGCTGAAATATTTCAATTGTGAATATCTTTGACACTACAGTAAGTATAGGTTTTCTCATTAAAACTGGTTGTTCGAAAAAATTTTTAAAGATTTTATTTATTTATTTTTTGAGCAAGGGGAAAGGAGGGAGAAATAGAGAAAGAAACATCAATGTGTGGTCACCACTCACATGCCCCCCTACTGGGGCCCTGGCCTGCAACCCAGGCATGTGTCCTGATTGGGAATCAAACTGACAACCCTTTGGTTTGCAGCCTGGTGCTGAATCCACTGAGCCACGCCAGCCAGGACTGGTTATTTGAAAAAAAAAATTTTTTTTAAGATATTTTATTTATTTTTAAAGGGGAAGGAAAGGAAAGAGGGAGAGAAATATCAATGTATGGTTGCCTCTCGTGAGTCCCCTGCTGGGAACTGGCCTGCAACCCAGGCATGTGCCCTGTCTGGGAATCGAACTGCGATCCTTTGGTTCACAGGCTGTGCTCAATCCACTGAGCTACACCAGCCAAGGCTGGTTATTTTAATTTTTAAAAGAGCTGTAACTACTTGTACCATATGCAATTAATTTCATGAGGACATACTATTCACTTTTTAAATTTTCTTTTTACATTACAGTTTGAATTTAATGTATTTTATATTCTTTTGTAGTAAAACATAACTCAGATTTCCATAGGCCTTAAAACCACATAGTGGTTCTATTTGGAATTGTGTCTTCTGTAACAAATTTCAATAAAGTTGGGCCAACTCATCCTTGTCTGTGCCCATTTCCTTGCCTATAAAGGACAGTGGAACCCTTTTACTCTGAAATATTAACTTAATGTGTTTTGGGAGAATCTATAAATCTCATGTCCATTTTGACAGCTACCTAATATACTAGTCACTAGCCACATGTAGCTAATAAACTAAATTAAAACATTCAGTTCCTCATTCAGACTATCCACATTTCAAATGCTCAACAGCCACACGTGGCTACTGGCTGTTATAGTAGATACAAACACAGATTTCCATCACTGCAAAAAATTCTATTGGACAGCACTGTTTAAGGGCAGGCTGCTTGGAGCCTACACTAGTCAGAGTTTACAAATAAGCCCTATCATGACTGGAATGTCACTGGGAAAAATCACCACTCACCAAACAGTACATATTATTTGATACAAGAGAACACACATTTATAAAGGCATTTAGTTTATTTTTTCAAAAAAATACTTTTGTTAGAAGGTTTGAGTCATTTTACGTGATCACAACCTTTAAACAAATTCATTTTCTGACCAAAAGGTACCCCTTAAGTGAACAGCTTGTCTAGGTCTGCTTTTGTAATGCCCAAATACAATTAGCACTTCTCTGATGGCATTCCCTAGGATTTAAGTTGCCTACAGGCCAGGAGGCAGAGCCCAGCACATAAAGTATGTGCTTTATAACTGCAGATTAGTTTGGTTTCTTATTTTTATTGTTTTTTATTTTAGAGAGGGGGGTAGGAAGGGGGAAGGAGAGAAACACTGATATGAGAGAGACATCGACTGCCTGTCTTCTGTACACACCCTGACTGCGGATGGAATCTGCGACCCAGGCCTGTGCCCTGACCCGGAATCCACCACCACCTTTTGGTTTGCAGGATGATGCTCAACCAACAGCCACACTAGCCAGGCCTAGTTTGGTTTGTTAACATCACTAAGCAGAGCAGGCAGTCAATACATCTAATTCACACCATTAATTATTTCTAGCCTGAAGGGTCTCATCCACCCAGAGTTTCCTGTTATCTCTCTTTAATGCCATAAACCATGACTGTGGAGAAAAGGGGCAGCTCAATTTACACTAGTGCCAGCTGTGTCCCAGTTAGGTCTAGGTTTTGTTCCAACTATGAATTCAAGATGACCAGTGTTACTTGTACTTAATGATAAATAGGAAATACAATGTAATGCCAAAAAAGGGGATTTAGGGACCACTGGGAGCAAGTGCTTCTTTTCCCTTAGGAGGTTCCCTTCAGAGAAGGTTGGTTCTCTACAGTTCTTGAGAGCTCTTAACTAAAAGTCAAATGAAATCTACATTCATTGCTATAAACTTAACAGGAAAAAATATCACTGGAAAGAAGCAATGACAGACTGGTAAAAGTTTGCTGATGGAGAGAACTGGGCATCTTGTTGAAGGCACATGATAATAAGTAGCTTTTAGTTTGTACAAGGCCTATAATCAAGCCCAAAAGCATGAAGTGTGCCCAGCTTCTGGACAATTCAGTCCCAAGCTAGTAACAGTAGAACAATGCCCATCTCTTTCACCAACTGCCCAGACTGTACTTCAAAAATGTCTTTGTTGCAAAGAAGCAATTACTGCAAACATCAGGACAAAGGACATTCTAATGTAGGGCTTGGGCTAAATAGAGGTTATAAGAGGAGGTGGAAAGTGACTGTCAAAACCAAGTTTCATGAATGCAGAGAAACATTTTAACCAGACTTAAAATATTTATAATTTAGGCTAAAGCATGCTGAACCATGCACCTCAGAGTGTCCTATAGAGCTGGAAGTGAACGACAAACTGGAATCGGACAGCTCACTTTAGGTTCCCTATGAACATCCCGGCAAGCCTCAATGCTGAGATGGTGGCCATTTCTCAACTGGAAGAAATGGCAGGTCAAGCTTTGGGCATTAAGATCCTTACCAGAACACACTTGTGTCTCTTCTGTATGCCTAATTCTGTCAGTTAAGGAAGATATGAAGCTCCAAAGTATAAGACATTCTGAATCAATAGCCTAGTTACTGGCTACTTTGTTTAGCTACAAAAAAAATGAAGGCAAAAGTATCACATTTGAAAAATCTCATTTTGCATACTTATGTCTGAAAACTGCAAATCAAGACGACGTCCTCCCCATTTTAAACTGTCGGCTTTCCTAATGCAGACAACCCTATCTATATAGCAGCATGAAGTACCTCTAATCTGTCTTTAACTACTTGAAGCACAATAAATACTGACCTGGTTTTATACGAAGGAGTTTGAGTCTGGGAAACTTAGGCATGTGCTGGGGCTGTTTACAATGTAAACACTGGTGTCGGTGCTTGGAATGTCTGGGGAGGGGGAACCCTGCACGTAAAACACCCTTACCTACCTGCCAGCAGCCAGCCTTAGCTTTGGCGAAGTTAAACTGCACATTTTAGCTTTTTATTTCCAAAACCTAACTAGGCCTAGATCCCAAGTGTCTTCAGCCATTTTCTTGGTATTTTTCTGTACAAGCTTCTGGGTTTCTTACTGTATCCGATGTTTTTCCTGCCCATTTCAGAAAAGGTAATTGGGGAGTCTAACATGCATTTTTATTTCCTTTTATATACCACGAAAGGCTAAAGATGCAAGATCCATTACATTAACCCTTATGAAGCCAAGTGTAAGGACAGTAACCATTTCTGCCTTTCTGCAGAAGATGAGGTTCATAGAAGCAAAAAAAAGGACTCTGGTGGTAGAGTCTCAGGGTCCATCGAGCAGAGGCCAAATGAGGAGCCCTGCATGTTCCTCAGATCACTAAACAGATCACTAAACAGGCAGGGGAGGGAGAAACCAATGACTCCTGCAAGAGACCTGAAGCCAGTCTTCATTTTAAATGTTAATATTTTAAATACCCTTGAAATAGAAAGGTATTTGGCAAATTTTAACTTCTTAAGGAAAATAACACAAGGGAAGTGTCAACTTGTAAATTACTCTCCGTTCAGCTGAGTTCTCATTTCTTTGACCACTTGTTTGATAGATACTAAGTTTTTTAATGGGTCAAAAACAAAAATCCAGAGAATTCAATGTTCCAACAAAAACTTTTACAAGTCTTAGGCATTTATTATAATTCTCATGTGTGTCTTTGTGTATAAAACACACCAGTTAGTTTATGGCCACTTCCTCTCACCCTTCAAAAGGAATGCAACTCACAATCTAAGACTCACTTAGAGGGAAGTCAGTGAAAGGTACTGCTGGTAAAAGGAAGTAAGAAAGGACTGGATTTGTCAAAACAACTCCTAGCTACCCTTTATGCCCAGGGAACACCTAATACTTTCAGAGTTATGTTGTATCAAAAACATCCTGCAGTTTTAGGTTCTGGGATTAAATTTTAAACCTGTATTCAGTTCACATCTAACTAAGTTTCAAAAGCTGCACCAAATCTACTAGGCTTTTTTTTTTTAATACTCTGCACTGCATGCTCTGTCTATATGCATGCGGTATTTGGATAATAAATATTAAATATGGGGTTGGGGAAACACATGGAATCCATAAAGTTAAAACTGAAACCGAACTGAACATTAAAAAATAGTACATGGTAGCAAGAGAAATGAATAAGCGCTAAAAATAAACTTGAGGTAACAATAGTGGCCCAATACCACTGGATCTGAAATATCTGTAAAAATTCAAATAAGTGTTTGGAGATTCAAGTAACAAACCATCCATCTGCTGCAACTTGGTCAGACTTCCCAGCCTTGCTGAATTTTAGTCCATGAGCCGGCACTCACACAGCTCCTTGTAAATCCTCTTCCGCACTCGGGGCATATCTTCTTGGGAAAACTGGAAAGGCTGCTCTAAGGCGAGGCACTTGCAGTACTGTAAAGGCCCCAGAAACACAAATGGCATGTGGAGTTATGTACCAGCCCAATGTCTAACAAAATTTTCAACAGCTTTTTGACCACTAAAGGAACCTAATAGAACAAATATCCCCTGAAAGTGGCCATTATTTAAAATCTGAATAGTTTTTACTCTGTGGCTAAAAGACCATTTGCTATAGACTTATAGCTGTTCTGCAATTGTCAAAGGTCTATGATATGGAGAAATTCTGATCAGCTTCCAGAGTGGCTTACTAATAACCTCTGATAAGACATGGATGGTATCAATTATACATGCTTGACTTTCAAAGGTGGTCTTCCAATGATAACATCTGAAAATATAGAAACTACTGCTTCTCAACAAGAAAGGAAGGGAGGAAGAAAAACTAACCTGTTAACTGTAGCTAGTTCCATGTACACATCACAGGGACTACTATCTTGCCTCTCTAAGCCCAACAAATTTAACTCACACATTGTAAATTCTGAAGGGAAAAAAAGGTATTTCATTACCTGGAGCACAAAGACTCCACAGTCACTGTCATTTTTCTGCTGTGGAATACACTGAGGGGAAAACAAAATGATCATTAAAATAAGACCAAGTCCTACTCTTCAGATAAGAAATATTGTTTTTATAGAAAAATGAGCAAGAGACAGGAAGTCTCTAGCCAGGACAGCTGGTTTGCACCTCTGGTATTTAAAATGTTTGATTTAATGGAGGCATTTGGCCACATGAAAAGAGTTATCAGTAAACCACAATTTATAGAACATTCTGCCTAAATATGAAAAATGGGAAATCGAATAAAACCCTACTTAAAGACTTCCATTTGGATTATTAGCTTTGCTATGAATTCACTAACAATGAACTTGTGGATCAGAGAACATGTACCTAGACTCTGAACACTTAACCAGTCACAATCCTGCTTAGCAGTCTTCACTTTTTGTCTCGTATTATACAACTGTGTCCTACTAAGGAAAGAAATTATAAAGGTAAATGGTATGTTTTCAGAAGAACTGTTACTATATCCTTCCTAAAGTGGGAATATGAAAGATCCTGTCTAAATTTAGGAGAATGAATGAATGAATTTAGGAGAATGCCTACATATTCTATCTGGGTAAATTCAGAAAATTTACAAGTTCAATTCTAATTTGAACTAATATACTAAGTTATTTAAAACAAAACTTAAGT